GGTAGGGTGAAATATGCTCTAGTTAAACACATTTAAATTTCGCGCGATTTGGTCTACTAAGAAAAAAGTTATGAACGGAAAAGCTTTAAAGCATTTCATCAAGGACTTTTGGCCGCTACGGTATATGCTATGGCGCGCACATTTGAACAACTCGTCCAAATGCCCATTGCATGCAACTTTGTCGTCACATTCTTGTCCAACCCGTTAATGTTACTTCTTCCTTGAAGCCTTACATTTCTCTGAACACGCCGATTTTCGCGTTCTCTTTGCTTCTTTTGCACATTTCTGGACTATCGCTTCGGGAGGTGAATGAACTCCGGTCATCCGATAGCGTTATCATGAAATCCCCTTATATGTTGTGCGCGTTTACATATGAAGGTAAGTGGTGTCATTTTATAGTATTTCCATATTAGTTTCCAGATGACCAGGAAGACGTCCGTTTTCGCTTAGTCTAATGGTGTATGCACAGGACAATTCATTGAATTCTTTATTCATTTTTTAATCCTAAAAAGGAACCGATTGAGAATCATAATGGCAAGTAACGTGAGCAGTTTTTAAAAATACGTCCAAGAAACTGTACATTAACATCATGGAACAAACATCAGGTGACAGCAAGCGATCAATCAATATGTATGAAAAACGAAAGAGGAAAAAAAAGTGAAAGACAATTGTAAGTAATGATTTTAAAAGATTAAATTAGTATTGTGAAGATAATTACAACAATAGGGTTAAGCGACCAGATTTTCTAGCATTAACACTATACTACAGAACTACATAGTTGTGCAACAAATTAAATACTACGGCTCTCAAAGTTCTGCACTTACTGTGTAGTACTGAAAAGTGCTGCGGTATGTACTGTGAAGGATTAAGTAACAGACTAATAGAGAGCAATAGATCCTGAACAAATTGGCTTGCAACGTAGTACTCCCGTGTATGGCATGGATGATAGCAGATGGCTACCGTCCTGATGTTTTAAATAGATAATCAAATTCAGGCGGTAATGTTGGAAGTATATTCTCTGGTGGCTCGAAGTTCTTAATAAGTTTCACCACCTGAAAAGCTTTTGATTCACCGCAGTCATGAATATTAAATTGCTTCATCATTTTGCAGGCTTAAAAGGATTTATATTAAAGTTCGAAATTGTTTTGAAAAATAGCACAAACTGTTATCATATATTACAATGTGCTACAACTAAATATTTCAGCCCTTGACATTGGGCAAGCCCAGAGAACAAGGAAAATGATGGAAAATCTGAAAGTTGAGGGGCGGTCGCCTGTGTGAAAGAGGCTGGAAAAGCAGATAGTTCGTAGACGGAGTGCTCAACTACTCTGCGGTTGATGACAGACGATAGGCTGTAAGATGGGGGGCGAGTCCCTCAAGGAGAAGGAGGCGGATAGGGCTTGAAAGGTTGAAACATTCATGAAACACTTGACCCTGAAGTGTGCCCTTAATGTAACTGAGACTAAACACAGTAGACACCCATATGGGAAGCCTATAGGGTGCTGCGTTCTCGGGGAAGTAACCTGTTAAGTAGCTTCATTTTTTTTAAAATTATGCATTATATCGTCGCCTTTATCCAATTTCCTCCTCTCATATTCCACTAGGCTAACTCCACTAGCTCGGGCTGCTTGGTTGCTTTGGGTTTCGTTGTAAGCTTTTCCGGGCTAATACAATGGATGACGATTCAACGAAAATGCGCTTTCAAAATCCAGTGCCTGTCACTTTCAATCAAGCCTTCATCGCCGTCAAGGTCATTCGTGATATCTGTGCTGTGGGTGTGGAGGACAATAAGCCGGAAAGAACAGCTAGTGATCACGACAATTTCGAAACGGTCAGATGATCCGCAAAGGGCATGCTTTCTTTGTTGTCAACAGGGTTTACGAAGAGCGGTGAATCATGCTTGCACGAAGATCCGCACCCACCCCACCTAAGCTGTGGTGCTCCGAAGCTAGAGCTCGATGTGAACAGTTCAAAAACTGAGGCGGCCGATACTCTGGGTAAAAATGACTAGTAACAGCACTGACGGCTGAGCAAAGTGCTCGTGTCTAGTGGGTCCTGTCACCGTCAGCAGAGTTCTCCTAACCTCCAGAAGTCGCGATCATTCAAAATGGTTACGCTCCCTTAGGATTGCTTTGACGAACATAACTGGGAATTTCTCCAGCCTCGGCTTGTTCTTTGGGATGGACCCTGGATCTCCATGTTTTTCCATTGGTGAGAAGGTTCTGAGCGGCTTTTCGACCACTAACAGCTTGGATATGGAAACTGGCTTCGACGAAGACCGTCAAGACGACAGACCCTGAGGCTTTCTTCCGCTGAAGCTCTAGAAACCGTGGAAAGTAGGTGCAGTACCGTCACCAAATTATTTATGTATCTATTCGATGTTTTTTAGAATGAATTTCCCTATTTAAGGACAACAAAGTCTGAAAAATATTTTCAAAACCTAAACAACAAACATATTCATACAACATATTTGAAAAAAAATTGAGTTTTAATTATTAAAAAANAAAAAATAGTTTTTCTCGGTTTTTTCTTTTCAAAAGACCATCAACTGGCTGACCTCCTCTTTGAATACATCCATAGCACCTGCTGTATTTGCCCAACGTTGAATCCGTTGCAAATTATCTAATCCAATGGTCCGGTCGACGTGTCCCAATAGTTTTGCTTGAGAATCTAATTTTTGCGATCCAAGGGCCACTGAAACGGTTGTGTTAAGATTTCTTGGAGTACCACTAGCCTGCAGAGTCTTTATACCGGCCATAAGTAAACGCTACCTTCTAGAATATCAATAGCAGCCGTCTCTAGAGGTGTCCTCTGTTCAAAATGAGTTATCGCTTGATTGATTCCTTGATCGGCTTTGTTCAACATACTCAGAAGAGCGGACGGTTTAACCTGAAGCAGTATCTCATAATTAATTCCAGAGGTGGTCTCTAGGTTGTCTTACTAACCGTAGTAGGAGGATTTTCAGTTGGTTCCATCATGGCAGCATAAGGGCTCTTTCCGGCAGCAGCACCACCGAGGCCTACGGCTGGCACTGGAGGAGGAACGGCGCCACCAGGGAATATCGGCGGTCCATAGCCATCTCCAGTAGGGCCTTTCGATGGAGTAAGCGCTGAGTCACCAGTGAATAGATCTGAAGAACACTTTTCAGGCATACTCTTGGACTTGATGGGCCAAATAGGTCTAATGAGGTACCTGGAGCAGGTTCGGCTTCTGAGCTAGGAGACTGTCCGGAACCGGCACCGGTAGGACTTCCTCCCAAACCAGCTCCAGAACCGCTTTCACCACCTGGGCCATCACCAGCTCCTCCACCGCCTCCAAAACCGGAACCGCTGCCTCCACCGAAGCCGCCTCCGAAGCCTGAATTTGCGAGAAAATTCAGATGTCAGTATTATTTTACAAAAATGTAACATTTTTGAGGTGTCTCCGAATCAACTTGACATTCATGAATGATAGTGAAAAAATTCAGCAAAAAAAAGAGAAAAGGAAGAGTACACACTTCCTGATGACGGTCCAAATCCGCCTCCATCTAGGAATTCCTTCGGGGGTGCCACAGGTCTAAGTCCCGAATTTTGAGGGATGACTAGCGGCTCACCCTCCTTGAAGATTTCAGGATTGGG